TCGACCGACCGTCTGCCTCCCTCCTCCCCCCTAGCACTACCTCGGCTGACACGCCGGCACGCCGGCGGACTATGAAAGCAGCCAGTGTTCGAATAAGTAATTGTTGTGTTCTTCAGTCTCTAGGCACGCTTCATTCGAGAATCTTCCTCCGAGATTATGGTATATTGAGACTTACGTGTAATTCTGCTGTAGGTACTACCACTACGATACTCATTTGCGTTTACCAGTAAGCATTTTGAAACGCCATCAAACCTGGCATGAAACCTGCCTGTTCTAACCCTCCTCCTGACATACACTTTGAAGCCTGATTAAATACACGCATTTATCGATTTTATTGATTTCAGATCATCCATTTTCTTCGAGGATCATCCCATACAAAAATGGGATCTGCGAACGCCAATACCTTACACCTTCGATGAATCCTTAGGTCAGTCGAGTCGATGACAACTGCTTCCAACTTTTATTACTACTGATATCTTCATACAGTATGTCCTTTCAGCCGAATACGACAAGAATGATGTCCGAAACGCTTTGAAGGAGATCGAAGAGAAGACCTGTATACGCTTTGAGTATTTCGAAAGAACCCCACAAGGATATCATATAAATTACCAGAAAGTGGACAGTCCAACATTGTAAGTGATAAGTTATTATTCTTTGAGGTCAAGGGAGTGTAATGATGTCTTACGGGTAACAAGTGTTATGCCATAGCGGCTTGCCGCACGGCGAGACAACTAGCTAAGATATGACGTATGGCGGGACAACTAGCTAAGAATGCCCGCCGGGCGGTGTTATCGATATAATATCCTGGCCTTATCTCCAGACATTGAGCGTTTTAGGCAAGATTTACTGGTTACACATCATAAGCAACATAGGATACCAGACTTGGGATATCTTGGCCCAAAAATAGAAACCTACAGCTATGGAAGAGGGAGACCGTTCTCGAAAGTGTTATGCAGCTTTCAACTATTACGAGGGTACTGTTTCCGGAAGGAAAGGGACAGTGTTTGCGAAGTTGCACAGAGGTTTTGGTAGCTTCAAAAGTCAACTGGTCATTGCTTGTCAGTACTTCAAAGAACTACTACGGTATGATATGAAAAGTTTAATCAATTGTGCTTGAACTTAAGTGCTGACATTTTAATTTGAGTCAAAAAAATGGCTTTTAGCTGTGGCCTCTCATATATTGGAAGAGTGGAACCTGCTAATCCCATCTATCTCAGTTTCCAGTGCGGAAACGTAAGTTTCACTTCCATTTGCAGGAAATAAATGAGCAGATTCTTCACACCTACAAACAGGGGATACCAGTAATCCATAGAATGATAGAGGGGAAAAACAAAACGTCCTAAAGTCGACTAATCGGATTTCCCTCTGCAAGAAAAACCAATCTACCTTCAAGACCACTCAGGAAAACCAATTAATCGTGACAGTAAAGAGTTGTGTCCGGAATTGACGTCCCTTTTTGATAACAATTCCAGAAAGTTCCTGTCCCTTTTGCTACATGATTGTGTAGGTCTTTTAGTCACTGCAGTAATTTACTTTTCCACCCAATCACTCGCTTGGTCGAACTCGGGAAAACTTTTTACCTTATAGGTAATTTCATTTGGCCCATTCCCTGCTATGTACGGTGGTCGGTGTGGGCCCCCTTACCAAAAAATCTGGTTCGAAGAAAATCCAACAATTCATGTCGTTCACAGAATTGATTGCGGCTTTACATACATTTGGTTGTTTACTTGTAGAATAAGTATACAAGTAGATTACAGACTGTGTGTATTTTCTGATGCCCTCAAATCAGTTGTAAAGAGGAAATATGAGGACGAGTTCCATGGATTTTCCCACGGCCTGTCTCACAATCGTTCCCTTTTCGCATGAAATTTTGATTTCGAACCTTCCTTGCCCTTTTCTGTGAAGCGCCCTCGAACAATTGACCATTAATAGATGAGCCATGCACCGATACAGCGCCTATTATTGGACGTCTGTGGTTGCGGCACCGCCCAGCTGTCCACCACCCCTGTTCATTTTTACAGATCCATCCAGAATGAACTACAACACCTTCATCTTCGATCAGTGAATTTAGATTAAGGAAAATCATATGGAAACGAGGTGAGCAGTTTAGGCAAGAGGTATCGCAATGCATGAAACCCTTCATGCGCTCGGATTGAATCATGAACACCTACGAAATGATCGTGATCAGTATGTAAAGATCGACTGGAGCAATATAAACCCACAACACTATGATTACTTTGTTATCGCCGACTCAAAACTCTATACATCGTAAGTAATACTGGTTTTGAAACTTACATATCAGCATGAGAAAATATGTTATAAAAAATTTATTCATTCAGTAGGCTTCTGGCGAAAAAAAACGTTGTATGGAAGAAATTAAATTGAATTTTGCTTTACGATTCGCTGTTTCCGTGTGTTAAATCCTCCCAAAAGCATGTACAAATGGTATTTAATATGAACGCTTGGCGGAAGTGGTGTAGTGGCAACTGGCGCACCTCACACACGCATGGTCACGGGTTCGAATTCCGAATCAATATCCGCCTAGCTAACCAAGCCTTCGTCCTTGCGGGGTCGGTCAGTTTGTATCAGACTTGTTTGGGGGAATGAAAACACAGACTTGTGCATCGGATGGCCACCACATGTGATTGTAAAGGCCACATACGCATTCTTTACGCCACTACGGTTCTGAATGGATGTCGAGTGCGGGGCGCATCCCTCAGATAGGATGCTAGCATACCATTGAGAGAGGTTGTACTGACTACTAAATGAGAATAGTTTTTTCTATAAACCTCTTCAATTAAAATCCGTCATGATAATATAAAAACTGATACATTTTTTCAAAGCAGTTCGCTAGTTTTTCCTCTTTGGGAATGTTTTCATTCCCTCAACTTCAGCTGCAATTTTATTCCATTTAATTGTTATTCTTGAAATATCGTATATATTACTGAGTAACATGTTTAACTGACTGCTAAACAATCGCTAATCTCATTTCCCTGGCTGAGGCAGCATTTCAATTCGTTTAAATGCGCTCCATACGCCAGCCAATGTTTATCTGAATGCCTATATGGCACATGTGGCTTTGTTTTTGTAGCGTGCTTAGAATAAACACAGAGTGGGCCATGCCTAGATATTCAATGAGATTTACTCATGATCTATTTACTTACAGTTATGGAATAAAGTACGATTACGGAAGTATAATGCATTATAATGCTTATATGGGAGCACTTAACGTCGCAAGACCGACCATTATACCAAAGGTAGGTGGTTTGAGTGAATATTTTTTCGCGCGCTTTTATATTTTAGACATTTTAGTAATAGAAGAACTCTTATAGGGGCTTACTGTACTTCATTGCTTTAATGGATCCAATATAAGCCAATTACAGTTTCTGAGTTTTAGTTTTCCCTATCACTGCTAACGTCAGTTTGAACGGAGGTGACCCAGCAGCCTCGCTTGACTCCACTTGTCCCGCCCATCGAATAAGCTCCTCCCTGGCTAGATAAGAAATAGTAGACCAGCCAACATCCTTACGAGTAAGATCTCATATAAGCGATCCAAATTCTGGAGAGCTGGTAACATAGAACCTATGTGCAATTTGAAACACGAATTTTCTCGAAATTCTCAAATCGAGATAGGAGTTGTTCCCCACCGATTTTCCCATTTAACCTTCCTCCCTATCGATTCCACGATTTACCTTATTGGGCACAATCTCCAATAAGGAAAAACCTAGATGCTTTGCGGGAGAGTGATTGAACAGAATTTAAGGCTGCTCAAGTAACATCTTAGTTTATTGGAGTTACTTAGCGTGTCAATAGTTCGATACATACCAATTCCATAGAACTGTATCTGTCACTCCTTTAAAGTTTGTCGAAAGCGCCCCAACCTCATTCGACTCTACATGCCCCGCCCACTTCGTAGGCCCGGCCCCCAAGCGCCATTTTTACTTGTGCAATTGAAGCCGTTGATACAATCTGGCACACAAAAGCAAACAAATCTCGGATTAATTAATTACAGATTGATGAAGCCGTGAATATCAAAAAGCTAGGTCAACGAGAAAAACTGAGTGATTCAGATGTTGAAATACTCAACAAAATGTATTGTATGCCAGGTTTGTACTTTTTTTCTTTATATGTAAGTAATTGTTAAATGGTACGGCTGTTCAAGGTTGTGATGACACTAATGTCTACTGTGGCGCGTGGGCCTTGAAGGATCTGTGCAATCATCCAAATCACGATATTTTTATGAAGAACAATTGCCGAAGGAGTTGTAACTTTTGTAATTACCGACTTTAATTTAACATTGTTTTCAAATAAAGACTAATTTTTTCAAGTTTTTGTAAGCACATGGAGTCTTGTGCTCAGGAATGCTGAATCCTGTTGGTTGAACATCTCCAAACTGTCAAGTCTAGGTTATTCTGATGAGGTCAATATTCCATAGACCAGCATATCGCGAAAGAAATGGTTTTCGAAATACTCTCCCAGGATCGATGCTTGGCCCTCCCGTACACCATATGTGACGGCATCAGATCGGAAAACCGTCTAGGTAGGGCGTTATAAGTGCTCGAAGATTGTACCGGCTGTATGCCACACCCACCGGTGACCGCCTTGAAAAAGGCGCGCCATCAACAATAGAGCGCGATTGTTGAAAACTCGAACAAGAAGACGTGACCCTTGGCGGCACTGGAAGGCAACCTGGGCATTTTTGGCTTACCCTGGCTCACTGTAACCAGGTTTACGTAGTATTACACAATTAGAACTTCTCTAAACATCCCTTTCATGTCGTCATGGTCTCATCACACTTCTTTTTTTACTACTTCTCTGAAACTCTTCTTACTTGAAATTTGCCGATTTTCACGCTTTCTTCCCCACTCCTGTACTACTCTGCACCGCTTCCATTATTCGCCTCACTTCCATTATTTCACTCAAACTAAGTATCTCAAAATAATTGTGATTTGTGCCTCAAAGAGGTTTTACTTAGTACAATCTCATCACCTAGTAACTTTGGAGAGCCTCCAGTACATACTGCATTACTACATTTCCTGAGGCCTTTGCTGTTAAAGCCAGTCAAGTGAAAGTAGTAATTAGTCGGTTGTTAGATGGAATAGCAGAGTGGTTGATCCTCAGATTAGGCAAGCCATCAGGCGGTGTAGGATATTCGCCTGAGAAGAAGGCAATAAAGAGGCATTTGCATTTTGGGCAGCCTACATACTTACTCTTATCTGGGATCAACTATCAACAACAAATTCGAAAGCATTAAAGAGCATGGACTCTTGAACCAGTGAAAAAAAGGTCGAATCTCTTGAATTCTCTCTGCATATGCATTTTGACCGATTCTGCAATTCCTAGAATATAAGGTAGAAAAACTTGGATTCAAAAAATAGCCTGCAATTCTTGTGAAGAATCTACAGGATCTACAGCTGACGAGATAAAAAAGTTAAATAGAATGGTAATTGCAACAGCGAGACTTGCCTTGCAGCGGAAGCAGTTACCGGTATATATTGTATATTACTAAAGTTTTTATGGCAGTGCATCTCCGTTGTCCACGCTGAACGTGTTGTTACTACAGTTCATCAGCTTTCCCTGTGCCCGAGAACGTATATTGAAAAAGGTTACGAAGCTTTTAGGAAGCACAACTTATTTTAGGACGCTACTCATTTAGTAGTGAACTAGTAGAACTGGTAGCTTCACATAAAATCTAAGTGAGAGAGACAGTAAACAGGAAATGGAGTTGTTCTGACATCTGTCAGACTGTTTCACAGATATTTAATTAGTTATCCAATTTATTTATCTCGAGGTGTTTAGAGAATTCAAGGCCTCAAAAAAAGTAATAAAATCAGGGGTTGGATGTGAACATCACGACAGAAGTTGCATGGAAGGGGGTATTTGGACGAGCTGTCCAAATGCTTGTGCCGCTGCATACAGTTGGCTACAGTAAGCTGCCTGCGCGCAACGTGCGCATCCCGACGCGAATGTCGCAACATCTACAACTCGTGCAACGTTGAGGGAGCTCGTCCAACCTTGATTGTGTGCGTCGGCTAAGCTTGATTGGGGTCCTTATTACGCCCTATGAGGCCGTTTTTCGTTCAGACACGTCCCTTGTGCCATCTTTGTGGATCACAGGTTCATATTTTTGATGCTAACTGTATTTTTAAAAAACTTAATAATGTTTAGTCATATGATATAAATACAAATAGCACAGATAGCATGATCTTGAAATGCAATCGAGAGCAGAGAAGCACGTTTATTTGCTTATCCCTGATCCAGGTCATTCAAAGATCATTTACTGATTTACAATCACAATCTTATTATGAACATTTATGCACATTTGATGAAAACAAAACAAAAAAAGAGAACATTCACAGCTATCACGTCGTACAGATCAATACCGTGTCGATTGATTAGTTCTAATGAAAAGGAATGAAAAATCGATATCATAACACATTTTAAACTGACTTTTTTCAGACAGACAGACAGACTCGTAACACTTTGACAAAGAGGTAATTGAGCAGAGTGATTTTCAAGTATGAACACGTGAATGAAATCGTTTGTATTCGATTCGATTCCAACGTGCTATCGTCGTTGACGATGATGCCGGGCGATGATAATGTGTGAGTGTGTGTGGAACATAGAAGGATGTGGTGGAAGGTGGACCAGAAGGGAGGTGTACACCGTTCTGTCAGTTACACATCCTGATCGGCACATTGCCCTTGACGATTTAATTTCTAAAATGGAACAACATGTGAGAAGAGGTGTGAGTGCAAAGTTAATAGTGCTTACTATAGAAGTAGTAGCAGTAGTGGTTGAAAACTGAAATGGAAACACATCAATTCACATACACGTTTTACTACATACTAGATAGATATTGAGATCTTATATAGAACAGATAGAACATTTATAGATCAGCAGCAGTAGTTTGACCAAGTGATTAAAGTGAATTTGAAGTTTATTTGGCTATACTTGTAAGGCCCTACTACGATTGGGACGAAGGCCACCCAATTCTCATGGACGCCATGCGAATTACCGATGAAAGCCCGTGACAATCAGACAATTGCTCTGCAAATGTCCGAAAGCACGTCTGTGAGGAGCTCGGTAATATCGCGACAAGCGGTTGGTGCTCAGCAATTGCTTTTTCTTGAAAATTTCCAATTTTTAGCCCAACTCCATGTTCACAGGTCACGCCCTCTCATTTAGGATGTGCGCCCTCTTAGTGGCACGCTCCGGCGGCCAAAAAGTGGACCTAACGACCGCCAGTTGTTTTGAGATAAGACCTGGGATACAGAGCACATTCGCCTTACTATATTTAGCGGCTTCGGCTCGGGCAGCCTAGAAGTAACCTGCTACAAAATAAAATATTTATGAGTTGAGTGGCAAGCAAACAAGCCCGTCCTGTTGTTACTGAAGTAAAGTCCTTTATGTTTTTACCCCGTAGCAACATAGAATAGGATGGCTTGCTCAATGTTTATCAGTCTATCTTCTGGGATGAGCCGGGCATATAACTTCTTCTGAGTTGTCGATCATTAAAACAAGTGCTTCCTAAACTCCGCCTGATCTCCGGCCCGTAGTTGCGCCAACTCAAAATACTTGAATGAACCAGAGGTCATGGGAAGGCGAGCCTTTGGAAGAAAATACTGCCAAGTGAATGCTTATTATTAGGCTCCCAATTTTTGTTTTTTGCAGTATGTTAATTTTTAGGAGCATATTTATTGCGTGTAACGTTTGGCACCTAGCGGCGAACGTCTAGAGACGAGCGCGTGAGGAGCGGCACGCGCACCGCGCGAAGGCGCCGCTCTGCTCGCGCGAAACTTTCGCTCTCTGGCTTGAAGTCACAAAGTTCTGCAAAATGCTTCGAATATTGTGCGCTACCCCCAAAATTCATTGGTTTCGTAAAACAAAGCTTTTTTCATAGTCAGCTTTGTTTTTCTTCACACCGAGGTGGGAAATTACTTAATTGAAAACCTCTCTGCCTTCTGATTTCCAGAGCAGTTTAGCTGGACATGCGTAGCTGGGTTGATTGTTTATGTTATTCTGCTAGCATTGCAGCTGCCAACTACCTGAGCGTATTCTCTCGGCGGAGGATTACGCAGCCCACCCGGATGAACGATGGTAGCGAGTGATAACTACTTCGCGCTTCTGCCTAATGCCTTGACAAATTTTGGGGATTTCGCCAAGCCAAAGAGGCCTGCCTGGGGAGACCAGGCTATGAAAAAGGGATAAATCTAGTCACAAAATCTAAACTAAACTGCTGATCTACCATATACACACGATGAAATACATAAAGCCACAGAGTCATACATTTAGGAGCATGTTGGTCGACCGCTTTTGATGTATAGCACTGGGTGTATTTCGTTTCTGACGTGATCGTGTACAGCATGTATTACCAAGTGCATTACGTCGTATTACACAGTAATCCAGTAGTAGTACAGCGATTATGAGCAGAAAACAGGCAGCAAATAGCCATACAGCCCATGCCGGAACCTGAAAAAAATACTAGATTTGAAGTGCTCAATTCAGTTTGCAGACACATATAGAAGGAGTTTTTTCTTGATGTTATAAACGCAATTGTCGCCTTACATTTTCTTTTTAGGAACCTATTTAAAAAGTACGGTAGTCTCGCGCAAAAAGTTTTTTCGGAGCGCATTAACGACACCGTTTTCCTCCCTTCCCATTATAGAACTGCGAAAACTGCTTTCAAACCCTGCATTTCATGAAAAGAATTACTTGTTTACTATTGTTCTCCCTACTTTTGAATCGTTGGTATTTCCAAAGTTTTCTTTTTGCATTTGAAAGAGGTGAATGCAGGTGGCGAACAGACTCGCTGAAGTACGAGAGGCATTTCGTGGTAAATTGTTCTTGGAAAGGTGGAACCGAAAATCTTGAAATCCTTGAAGTTCCCTCAGCTCTGGATTTCTTAAGAATGTAGAAAAAATTAAGCCGGTCAAGCTATCCAAAAGGCAAGGCCAAGGGGGATTCGCTTCGGTTGGGTGAGGGATGATTAGCGCGGTATCCATGAAGCAGAAGAACGGGTTCGACCTCGTCTGAGGGGGAAGTTTTGCTCGCAATTCCCTGAATTTGTGAAAAAATTCAGTTTTGATATCATCTATGAGCTTTCTGTTGAGTGCGCCAAGCGTTCTTCTTCTGCTGAGAATCGTGGATGCATTGGAAGGGATTCTGAACTGCACCAATGACAATAGAACCCAACCAGAAGTCACTGTACCAGTTCTTCAGAGTGGATTTGAAAGCAGTTTGACGAAACCTGAAGGATGAAGTGTAGGGGACCTTCTAGAAGGTTCGATTCAGGATTGTACCCATGCTAATGCTTCCCCTTCCTCCCGCCGGTAGGATGTTCTTAGGGAAAGTACGAGTGTGAAGGCAGTGATGAGGAAAGGACAGTGCAAATCGCATCTTAGCTAGTCTCAGCAATTTCTCCGCTTCAGCTACCATTGCAGATACATACCGTAGCTTCTAAATAACATCGTCCTTTTATTCAATAATGTACTTTTGTATATTGTAAGCGATTCGGGCAAATTTGCTCCATCCCTGTAGAAAATTCGGTCTGGGGAGAGACGAGTTCCTTCTACCATGACGAGATATTCGGAGAAACAGCTTGGTAGGATTACGCAGCGGTTCATCCCCCCTGTCCTTCCATGGGGACCATAACAAATCCAGCTTTTTCAATTTTAATGGTCCCTTAGATTGAGCTTCCTCAGCACATGGGATGGAAGTGTTACGCTTGACGCATAGTACGGAGAAAAGGATTAACTTCATCCATATCAATTTTAATCTACTTCATGCTTATGATGCTTTGTTTTGATTATTCGATGAAAATTAATCCTGGGCTAATGCTCTCTCTACGCCTCTTCCTAGCCATTTTCTCCCTCCCCCTCCCCACTACCTCTCCTCCCCCAAACCTCCAAACACTTGGAAACGTCCCTAGCGCTTAGCCTTTTCCTTATTTGTTTCAATAAATCCTTTGGGAAGGGTATACTTGTGATGGGGAGGATGTGGTGTAGTGTC